GCTGTCTCCATCTTTTTACTATTGTAAATAGTGCTGCTGTGAACATTGGTGTGCTTATATCTACTTGTGTTATGGCTGGATTTTAGCTCTTTCAAAGGTCAACACTTACTGATTCAGTCTTCCTTTTACTTGAGGGGAAATACATCCTCATCACTTGAAAACATTAATATCTTGCAAAAAATTACATGTGAACCAAAGGGACTTCTGTGTTCTACTGATGTCATCCTAATCCTGTTGCGTGACTCTGCAGTACAGAAATGTGTGATCTAGCAGAACAGAAAAACGAGAAGGGATTCCAAACATTAAAAATGATTTGAGTATTTTTAGCTTGTATTATACCTGAATTTCTCCTTAACTCCATGGTATAATAATCTGCATCTTTTAGATTACTCAAAAAGTTGACTGATGGAACATTTTGTTCTAGCATGGAGGGTAATGGGGCAACACATTGAGGGAAAGTATATGATGGGAGATCTAGTGTTTTAGAAAACGTTCAAAATTTCCTGACCAGTAAGGAGTTTTGGTGTGGTGCAGTTGCCTAATGTGCTGGACTGCAAAGTCAGTTTGGACCACAAGAACTTCAAGCTCACTAGCCACTCCTTAGAAATCCTATACAGGGTTGCTATGGGTCAGAACTGACTTGGCGGCACTTAACAACAACAATGATTAAAAGATGAGGCTTTCAACTCTAGCAGAGATTTAAAGCCTCAGAAACCCTGTACAGGGTCGCTATGAGATAGAACCAACTGGACAGCACTTAACAACAACAATGATAAAATTAACAGTCTATTGAAACATATGTAAATAGATTCTTCTGTTTATGCTTTATTCAGCCATCGACACTATCCTTTATAGAAAATGAGAAATATCTTTTTTTTTTTTTTTTAACATTTTATTGTGAATTATGTGATAGTTTACATGGGAGAACATTAGTTTTACATTCATCCTATCCTATATCGTTTCATTGCCATGGTTACAATCCCCTCCATGCATCATCAACCAACTAAAGAGTATATCCTACAAGCCTGCCTCACAGCCCCTCTCCCTCTCTGGGTCTAAAGCCCTCAGTTGCTCCATCTCTCCACGTCATCGTCTCTGCCTCCATCTCTGGCATCACTGCTTCTCTAGGTAGGATCCTGAGAAACATGTATTTTTGCCATTCTTTACATATTACTATTTATACTACCTATGGTTAGCCAAGTATAGTGATGGAATGAGCACAAGATATAACATTCTTGGCAGTTTGACAATAGTGTAGTTTTTCAGTCATTCAGAAATGGCTTCACGTTCAGGACACAGCTTACTGATGTAACCTGTAAAATTGTTAAAGATAATAGAATTCTAAATGATCAGATATGGAAAAATCAGCATTTTATACAAAGAGCTGGAAAGTTATATTTCTAACTCACAAATACCAATGTCTTGCTTTTAGATTTGTGACAAACTTCATGTTACAAAGACTTTTTACATTTTGTAGAATTCAGCTAATGCAAATATTCGCTGGCCACTTATTCCCTTTCTTTGTTCCCAACTCTTTCTTAAATCAAAGCAGGAGTTCTTCTTTATGACTGAAATATATGTTCTCTTTCCTTATGGCATGGCTTTTATGTGTAGAGGTACATAGCATTCATCTCCTGAAAAATTGCTCTATTTTCAAGTAGCTCCTATTATTTTCCTTCACTGTTGTGAAGAGGTTTGTTTACTTCATGTATGCTCAAATGACACATGAAGAAACAAGGAGTTACTGGAGTGAGGCAGCATGTGTAATGGGTTGGAAATTCAGAGGCTAACAGTCGTGGATGTGCCACTAACTCATACTGAAACCTGGGTAAGCTCCTTCTTCAGGTCACTGTGATTCAGTTCCTATTTCTCTTAAATGCCATTAAGCTCAGCTCACCTTACGCACATGGGCGCTTGTGATGTTAATAATCATAGACAAATGTAAAATATTGATCCTGTAACAATGGTGTATTAGTTTGCAGAGGGTATTTACGTTTAAAAATTTTGATTCTTATAGTAATTCTCTGGGAAAGGTGGTATTCTCATTTTGCTGCTTAGGATAAAAGATAAAATCCCCATGCTTTTTCAGTTATTATGTTTGTATGGTTATAGCTGGAGTCCTGGTGTGGCACTATAGAATAAACACTTGGTTGCAAGGTTTGTTTGAACCACAAGGTCGGTGGATCAAGCTCACCAGCTGCTCCTCAGAAACCCTGTACAGAGTTGCTATGAGTCGGAACCGACTTGACAGCACAACAACAGGGGTATTAGATATTTGTATGTACTGAGTTCTGGTAGCATAGCGGTTACGAGTTGGGCTGCTAACTTCAAGGTTAGCAGCTGTTCCGTGGGAGAAATGTGAGGCTTTTTGCTCCCGTAAAGATTTACAGCCTCAGAAACCCTATACAGGGTCGCTATGAGTCGGAACCGACTCCACGGCACACTACCACCACCACCAAAACATGTACACCCAAGTAGATGTACACATACTACATTGAAAGTTGTGGTTGATGATGAAGGTAATTAAAAAAGGAATATTCAATTTGTGTTTATTGTCGAATGCCCAGTAGAAATCCACATTTCCAGCTTACCTGGATCGTCACAGGGTCAAGCAGAATTTGTGATGAGGAAGGGGTGCTGGCTGCTGACAATTGTAATACATTAAGCACAAGGGACAACATAGGGAAAATAAAGTTTTCTTTGATTCCTCAAGTCAGACTAATTGGTTGTCCCTTTTTGACTTCAGTTCAAACTTAACAGCTACTTCTTGGAAACTCTACACAGGGTCGCTGTGAGTGCTATGCATTGGAACTGATTTGAAGGCTTTTCAGAAGTGGCAAAAGTGTTTGTGATTCTAATTACCTTTTGATTTGTTTCCCATAGGCTCATTCATGTTGGTGAACACTTCTGGGAAATCGGAGGGACAGAGAGCCCACCTCCTCTTACCTCAGCTTAAAGAAAACGACACCCACTGCATTGATTTTCACTATTTTGTATCCAGCAAAAGTAATTCTGCACCTGGATTACTCAATGTCTACGTAAAAGTCAATAATGGGCCTTTGGGGAACCCCATCTGGAATATATCTGGAGACCCAACAACACGTACATGGAACAGGGCTGAGCTCGCGATTAGTACTTTTTGGCCTAACTTTTATCAGGTATGCTTTTTATTTTAATTTCATGTTTTGATACAGCCACTCATTTCTAAAATTATAAATTGTTTTTATACTAGGATACTCAGAGAATGCATTAGTATTGTTAGTATTTTATATACTTGCATAGGAAAAGTCAGTATTATTTGACAGGAAGTGTTTTAAGGCTTCAATTGTTTGTTTTTTTCACTGTGAGAAATGAGGGAAAGGCACAGTTCAAATGTGTCTATGCCTAGCATTATATTGTTTTAAGAAATTAACTGCAGTGACTTCCAACTTGCCAGAAAGTGCCATTTTCAAGAGTATTTGTTTCTGGCTCAGGGAGACATGACCCATCGGCTAAATGAACCCCCTTTTTCTGCTAGTGGGTTTCAAGAGTTAGAGTCATTGAGATGTGAGCTCTTGTGGATATCAGGAAGTGAAGTGCAGGTCCTTCTACCTAACCAGTAGTGAGAACATGGTCTTTGTAGACTGAGCCCTTATCTTGGAGGGACTGCTGCAGGATACAGCCTGCTCTTTGAGTGATTTGTTGTGACCCACATTACCCTCATTCAGTTTCCCATTGAAAATAACTGAGGGATGGAGGTTAAAAAGTGGTAGAAAAGCAATTCTCCATGTCACATCCATTCGGCAGGAGAATACCTATGCCACAAAAGCCTCCTGACAGGATCAAAGGTGGGGAATTCTGACAGTGGGCATTTGGGGCTCTTTTTTTGTTTTGTCCATAAAATATTTTAAAAGTATCTTGATGTTAGTAATAATTCAATTAATTTCAAGCTAAAAGAATTCATTAAGTGGTTTGAGATCTTTTAATTTCCTCCTTCTAATTCCTTTGGCTCACTCAGGAACCAACTTGAACATGTGTCCAAGACCTTTTCTGACTGGTAATTGAGTCTAAGGGAGCTTTAGCTTCTTAGAAAGGACAGGAACAAACATCCAGGAATCTATTTTGTAACTCTTATATTTATTAGGGAAATCATCATTCTCAAATCCTCTACCCCGGGATTTTATCCTTATACCCTGGGAATTAGCGGATTGTATCTTGTTCAATTTACCTTTGTCTCCATTGTATCTGTCTATAGTAAGTCTTCAATAAATAGTTCTTGGATGGAAATTTATTGTTATTAAGTGCCGTTGAGTCGGGTCCGACCCATAGCGACCCTGTACAGGGTTTCCGAGGGTGTAAATCTTTACGGGAGTAGAAAGCCTCATCTTTCTCCC